GATTGAACCATATTGTATACGAACAATCTTTGGTAGGCCTATAATATAATTATAGATCTATATTTTATTTTTATTATCCGAAATATGCGGGAAAGGGTGTGATTTCAGAGTGTTCGGAGAAATAGTGCCCAGCTTTATTTTCCCGAACGTTCGGAGAAATAGTGCCGGCCTTTAATTTAAGCTTAAATTTTTTAGCTCAAGAACAGTGACAGTGTTTCCAGGCCCAACACTACACTGTAGATCTAGAACCAGTAGGCCTAGGCATAGTGTAGATCTAATCTAGATCTAGGCAGTAAATAGTAGGCTACTGTGTAGACTACACTAGAGTCTAGAGTGTGAAAGTGTCCATCCCGTTCACCCCACTGCCACTCGAAGCGTTAGTTGCATGCATATAAATATAGGCCTCTAGATCTAGATCTTTGATTGAAATTTGACAGGTTCAGCAGTAAATCTATATCTAGATTTCTAGATCTAGATCACACCTACCTCCAACAAAGTCAAAATAGAGAGACTCCACTTCGCGGGCAAGGTGCCGTCACTCGTGTCACCGTGTGCGCGTTTTCAAAACAATCCAGAAGTCCGCTAAAATAAAACATGCAAAAACAGCGGTTGGACTGCTTGAGGCTGAGGAGAAAGAAAAACAACATGGAATTGTCACAATATATACAGAAAGAGGGTTGCAAGACTTGAGAGCAAAGCTGGCGCAAATAAAAGAAAAACAAATAGATATCTAGATTCTATATACCTCAAAATATTACAGAAACTCTGCCACAAAACCTCAGTTGTCAGAGATGCGAACCATGCCGTGGAACCGCGAGAGAAGCGGTGTAAAGTGGAAAATGTCCTCCCTTTGAATACTCCCCGCCCCTCGACTTCTTTTCTTTTCTTTTTTTTTTTTTGGGGGGGGGGGGTTCTTTTTTGCTAGTCCTACTATGTTGAGTAGCCTAAGGCTTCGCCTACTCCCGTTATTTAATAAAATCCGGATTCCCATTCAAAAAACTGTCAAAGACGGCGGTCCATAATTGTTGAGCAGGAAAGTGAATATCTTAATTAGACATGCGGCCTTGCTTGTGTAGGATTAATCAAAATCTTAATGTATAACCAAACTCTCTGGTATAACAGACCATTCCTTTCTCAGGCCCTGGCCAAAGGCGGTTACAGAGGTCTGCTCAGCTGTAAGACCTATTAAAATGTGTGTGTGTGGGGGGGGGGGGGTTTGTGTGGTTTTTCTTTTTTTTTTGGGGGGGGGCTGTTGTTGTTGTTGTTGTGTTGTTGTTGTTGTGTGTGTGTGTGGTAGCCTATCCGTTCGATATGTTTGGAGCCCCGAAGAGCGTGCTCTTCGCCAGGGCCATACCGCATCCCTGTCGTTGTTGTTGTTGTTGTTGTTGTTGTTGTTGTTGTTGTTGTTGTTGTTGTTGTTGTTGTTGTTGTTGTTGTTGTTGTTGTTGATGATGATGATGATGATGATGATGATGATGATGATGATGTTGTTGTTGTTGTTGTTGTTGTGAGGCTAAAACAGCACCTGGACATGGATGGCTGGTGCCTCTATAAATAAATCATTGATGGTCTGGTTGTGAGGGGTGGAGGCGGGAGAGAGCTATGGTACTCGCGGCTGCTGTGGTTGTGAGTGCTAAATTCTTCGAAATCAAACCAAGTCCTCTCGGCAAACAAGCGATACTTCTGCCCCAAGTTCATTATATTATTATTAAATATTCATTGCTACCCGCTGGGTGAACAGAGCGGATGCTCATCTCACATATGATTCGTGTGTGCCTATGTTTAGAGTTTTAGGGCGGGGATTATTTCGGCTCAAAAACGGCTTTTTTTTTTTCTTTTTTTTCCCTTTTTTCCTTCTTTTTTTGTAAGTGTTTTACGGTGCTTGCAAATGCAAAGGGTCGTGTGAGCGCGCGGGACACACCAAACATTTTCATTTGGTAGGAAATTATTAATTTTGCCCGGGCGCGGCCGAAGCCTAATCTTATCGATTTTGAATCCTTAAGGGATCTTTAACGTGCACAACTTGCACACGGGAACTCCGAGATTTATCACCCTTGTCCGAGAAGGCTTTGTGTAAATCTTAAACTACCAAAAGATCAGGGGTGTGGCTGAAAGATAGCAGAAGGAAGGAGCCAAGGAGTAGAAAGGCTGCAGAAAGAGTCAGTAGTAGCCCAGGGAAGGGGCAAGGGGGTGAGAGGGTGGGGGCAGAAAGTGGAGACAAAAGCTGACGACAGAACGTTGTTCATTGTTAGAGAGCAGGAAAGAATGTGAAAGTAGAAAATTGAAGAGATTAAAATTTTCCGTCGCCATCGGGGATTCGAATCAGGGACCTATTGAATGAGAGGCGAACACCTTAACCTCAAGACCACGAGAGCCCCCATAACGCCTTCTCCACCAGCTAATGAAATTCTTTATCGGAACTCTCGACCTGTGTAAAGGACTTGCTACACAAAAGAGGGAGAAAACAGTTTCGATACCCATTCTTCATTGAGTTACCGTAGACTCTATAGTGTAGTAGATAGGCTAGCGGAAACTTGGATCAAATTTTTAGCTTCCTCCAAATTGGTGCTACCAAGAGAAGTTTCAGGCACCTTTCTTCTTGTGCGGGAAGAACGATGCCTAGACTTCTCTATACAGTGACAAAATCACTTTGGTGCAAATATATTTTTTGCTTGCTCCCAGTCCTAGCAGACACTACCGCAAGCGGTGCGACGAGCATAAACCAAGGAGATTAAAAGTATGTTAGTTCTAAGCTCCTTATTAGCATAAACCAACCTCGCTGTCTGTCTCTTCACTGGCGCAGCCAGCGGGGGACGGATTGCAAGGAAGTACAGGTAGTAATGTAAATCTAGAGCACTGACACTGGAATAGAACAATAATTAGAAAAAATGGGGGGGGGGGGAAGGCCAGGGTTAGGTGGAGCGCTTGCTCCAATTGAACCAATGGCGCCCCGCCACTAATCAAGGCACCCCGGAAATAGTAGTTCTCAAGAGAGTGACAAACATACAAAAGAAGTAGAGGAAAAATGACGACAGTAAGGATGATGAAAGAAAAAGCAGGAGTTCCCCCTATGTTGCTCCGGCACAGTATGAGCATGACATTGATAAATCATCCCATTTACAACAAAACTGTGCATAAGAACATGTTAATACCCCCCCCCCCCCCCC